GGTTAGATTGTGTGCTTATAATCACAAATGTTCGCAGGTTATGTGTATTTTGTGTCACGAAGAGGGGATATTTGTTGTGATATAGACATTTATATCATCAATTGCATTTTACATCGACATATGGTATTGGAAATTGTTTAAGATAAAAAGAAACTTTTTTCAGAAGACAGTTGTATTCTCAAAGGAACTCTCAAACAACACAAGTTCTGTCTTGTTTTTAGGGAACTTGACCGGGACTTTCAAGCAGCCATTTTTACCAACCGTCCAGAATGCGAGCGAGATGGCTACTGTGGACAGCAGTTGGTATGGCAACCAGTATGTAGGTCAAACGACAGGCAGGCCGGTTACCGACACATCTATAAACAGTGCGTCTGACATTTCTACGAGTAAAGTGTATAACTGTCGCATCTGCTGTATAAACTCTGCGGACAAAGCGTCCCTGAAACAGCATATGTATGACAATCACAGTCTCCAGTACTCCCATTTCTGTTTTGAATGTGGCAAGGGCTTCAAGGCATATTCTGGTCTGTATGACCACGATAAGAGCAACCACGCTGTAGGGGAAAACCTGCCCACATGTCAGGTGTGTGGCAAGTACTTCGCTCGTCAGAGCCGTCTTCTTGTTCACATGAGAAAACACTCGAAGGAGCGGCCATTTGTTTGTCAGAGGTGTGGCAAGACTTACAAACACATGCAAAACCTGAAGGAGCATATGTGTTAAGAGTTGACCGTTCTACGACCACCTTCTTCAACGTAGAAAAACCAGTGTTTAAAAAGTCCTGGCCACTGGACCAGCTCAAGTTTCTTCACCGTGTAATCATGTTTGGCTAAGGCGCTGGCTTTGTGTGGAAGTCATGTTTCTGTGTGTTTGAAACTGTGCTGTTTTCTGAATAGTATTTGGGTGTTGCTGGATGTAGGTCTAATGATGTCATAGATTTACAAAATACATTTCATGTAGGTGATAAGTTTGACAAGTCGTACATTCTGCAGATTTAATTCTTGTGAATGTCCCCAGCTGTGATCTCTTCAATACGTGGAGAGTGGTGTGATTCCAAATGCTAATAACTGTTGCACTTAGTGTTTGATAAAATGGATTAATTTTGGTGTTAAACTGAAGATAAAGTCTCCAATGAATTAAGTGATATTACCAGAAAGTAAAAAAATCCATTCCTGACTGGCTGTATTTGATTAGCATATTTGTTTACTAATTAATTACTGGGTGTTGGGTAGATAGATAATCACCAAAACCACTTTTTCCTTTAGATATGGACGTGTTGCTACAAAGCAACTGAACATCCTTCGCAACAAAATGGCCAAAGGTTACCAAACGTCCTCTTTATATTTTATATAGGTCATGGTAATCCGGTTATCAACACAAGTGCGATGACTTTCCCAGGAGATACGTCCAGTTCAGTTACAAGGGATGCCGGTTATAATTGTCAGACCTGTTACAAAAACTTTTGGACTCTCCACGAGTTAAACACGCATAGTCATTCTCAGGATGAAACTGGATTTGTTTGTAAAATATGTGGATTCTCAGCAGTCAATAGGAAACAGCTGGGGGAACACTTGATTGCCCAACATTCAGTAGAATATCTCCACTTCTGTGTGGTATGTGGCAAGGGGTTCAAGTCCTATTCTGGTTACTATGACCACCAGCGAACCTATCACGGAACAGGGCCTGTGTGCCCCGTGTGTGGCAAGTGTTTCGCTCGACACTCCCATCTCCAACATCACATGAACAATAGTCACAGTAGCACATCTAATGAACAATTATCTTAGCAATATATCACATAACAAGTTGTCATTGTGACACAAAACATCACCTAACCAGTTGTCATAGTGACACCATCACGTGACTGGTTATCAGTGACAACATAACACGGCTGGTTATCAATGACAACATCACACGGACAGTTGTCATTGTGACACCATCATATGGCCAGTTGTCATTGTGACACCATCACATGCCAGTTGTCATTGTGACACAAAACATCATTTAACCAGTTGTCATAGTGACACCATCACATGGCCAGTAGTCATTGTGACACAACAAGAATTATGGGAGGCAATCTATTGTTACCAATGTGGGCTTGGCTTCAAAAGCAAGGGAGGGCTTAAAGAAACACAACGTTGGCATTGATCTGACCCACACGGCTGTGCTGTACATTATAATTTCTATGAAGTTCATTACTATATGTCTGTTGGATCATTGAATACATGTTTCACATGCACATGCAAACTACTGGTGTCAATATCACAATTGTGGCTTGTCAGAAACATGTGATTTCCCATGTATAATTACGAGTGTGGGCTGTAAATATTGCCAAGGAATTGTTACATAGTGACACTGAATGATATATAGGCGATGTCTGCGAGGAACTGATCATTTGAAAAGGAAAGAATATTTTGTGTATACATCTTACGAAATGTATGTTTGAATTATATGTTAAAGACTGATGAATTAGAAATGGACGCTATATTGAATGGTTGTTATCATTGATAAGTGAAAATAGAGCAGCATATTAAATATGTTTGATGAATGAGAAACGGAAGATATATAGAATGTTTGTTATCAATGATGAATTGAATGGGGGCTGTATTGATCAAGAAGGTAAAATTCAAGTTGCCTGTGTCAAGTTTGAATAAAAGTTTATTTATATTGGTAAATTTTGCGTTTCGTTCTTTATTGAAATGAGGAGGTAAACATTGTGTTTACCCGAGGAGGACATCCAGAAATTTGGGAAACTAAAATTATAATATGATGCTTGTCTAATGAATGGCCCAAAGGTCAAAATTGAAGGCGTAATATCAGTTGAATAGATACAAGTACTGCCTTGATGGTAAAACTCGTGACTTGGAGTAGATCAATGGCAGTTGTTCACTACTAAAAGGTTATAGCTAGCTACTAACGACTTGCAAGAAATCATCCCTTATCGCTGGAATATATTCCACTGTAAGAAGACATTCTTGTAAAGGTGTTTTGTACATGTGACAGTTTGTTGTGTGCTGTAGTCTTGTCAAGTGCTGTCCGTCTTTATGTGGATAAAGAAAGGCATGTTCATCTATCAAACAATCTTTTCACTGAGAAAATATGTAGAAGGGAAACGGTGTAAGTGGTGACTGGACATGGTAACATAGCCTTTCTTTATCCCTTTCAGGCCCTGGCACTGGTATGTACACAACCAAATGGCAATATGAGGCTCCAGACATTACCCCCGAGATGGGGGAGGGGCCCGAGGTCCACATCGAGGGTCATGCTATGATACACATCGAAGGCAACAAGAAGGCCTGTGCGTTTTGTCAGATGCACAATATAAAAACTAAGTCGGGCTGGGCAATAAAGTCTTACTACAAGTGTGAGACATGTGACGTGCCCCTATGTCGGGGCAAATACAAGCAGTGTTATCAGCGGTATCATGAGCTGCGTAAGGAACACGACGACATGTCGCCAAGGATGATGCAGAAGGCTATCAAGGCTTCAATGCCAAAAACCGGCAAATTTAAAATAGCAGAGCCCCCATTATCATTTTGGTAGCAGGCTAATTCACTTTCCTTTGCTTCCGCAGAAGAGCATTACCTGGAGTGACATTTTAAAACATTCTTCCTGGAAATCAATTACCACTGGATTGTATCTCGTTTTACCTGTGCATGTCTATTTGCAAACAAAGAAATATGTGTTGTTAAATGGACATTTTGGATTTCTTGAGGAATATGTTGAGTTGGGGATAAAAACAAACAAAAAAGTTAAAAAAAAATGAATGAAATTTGAGCTGAACAAAACATGTTCTTTATATAAAACCATAGAACACAAACAACTTAGTCATTTTGAAATAGACAATTTAGAATACTGAAGACCTAAACAAATTGCTAACAAAGTCTAGGTAATTGGTGACAGGTTTCTGACAAGATTTCTGGGTCCCGAGATCAACTTGTATTTGGAGGGAAGAAGAAGACATTGGTTTGTGGTCAATTTGTAGGAATGATTATACAAGTAAAGCGATAAAGAAAATTTGCTCAAGGTCATTTGTGAATAGAGCTGTAACTCATTAATATATATTTAAGGTGTCAAGTTCAGATAAGATAGTTTTATCTGGTGGTATTTGGCTAGGTACAGTTACGTGTTGTAATATATACATTTCTATATATTTTCAACTATTTTCATATTTATAGATGAATGTCCTACTTGTGGTATTTTATTGTTATATTTTGTGGTTTTAATATGGGGTACAAATAAAGAAGAGTAGTTCACGATTCTTTTCTGTCTTGTTTGAAAAACAATCCCTTGTTGAGCAGCACCTTGTCCTGTTAAAGAAAGGCTGATGGTACAAGTGTCACACCATTTTGGTGTTGTTCATGGAGATGATTTGAGAGTTATCTCAAATACCAAAATTGACTCATTTATCTCGATTTTCCACCCACAGTTCTCATTTGTTTGACAAGAAGTGGCACTAGTAACCGAGCCTTTCTTTATGTTTGCAGGGGGCAGTAGTGTAACCTTCCCGCAGGGTAAACCCTCCTCCGTTACCATGGCTTCTAACCTGCCAGGTAACCCTTCCTTGGCTAATATGACATCAAGCTTGCTAGGCAACGATTCCAACATTTCCATGGCGACTAGCCTGTCCGAGTGGCCGGAGCAAGTACAAATACAGGGTGTTGTCCATCGTCTCCTGCATATCGGAGGAAAGAACCGGGCTTGTGCTTATTGTACCATTAGTAAAAACAAAACCAGACTAGGCTGGGCTAGAAAATCATACTACAAATGTGACGCATGTGGTGTACCCCTTTGTCGCGGTGAGACCAACTGTTACGAACGCTATCATGAACTAGTGCAGGAGCACCAACACCTTGTAGACTCTCCCAAAAATCTTTACAAGTTCCTTCTCCGGAAATTCTCATCACAAGTAGATGTAGACTATGTACAGGAGAGCTTCAAAATACAAGGCATTGACTTCAGCTTTGGCAGTGTAGATCCTAATAAAAACATTTAGGATAGGCTTCCATACATCTCTGTCACATATGGCAACCATCAGTTAGCAGGAGCAAGTATAAACCTCAGTTGCTGGATCCAATTGGTTGATTTTGCCTGGCAACCATCAGTAACTAGGGTTGTGTACTTTGTCTGGAGTTGATTGGTTGACTGTCTGATGAGTTACCATGGCTGTTGTTAGTATGAAAAGTGTGTAGCTGGAATTGATCCTCTGTGTGAACAGTGTGGTAATAGTGTAACGAGATTTTTACTTTGGGTATCAAAGTCATTGAAATCATTGTAGGAAATCGAAGGACAATTCATCAACACCTCTCTCTTACGTCCTCTAAACATCTTGCCTTTTAAATTATTTGAAAATAAATGAGCTTATTCCTTCTTCTTTTTCTTTCATGACCTGTTTGAGCTGTTGTTGTATTTTCATAATCCAATGTAAAAAAAAAAAAAAAAATCGTCAGTTTTTGAAACTTACAACAATAGAAATTGTGATAAATCTATCAGTATTATTGATGGCCAGAACAATAGATATGTAATTATTTATTAAAAGTTTTTTTTAAAAATTGGGTAATCCTGGTTTCTTTGTCCTTTCAGGAACACCAGTTCCTCAAGAACACATTGCCTACATAAGCCAATCAGAAAGCACAGCACATTATCACTCAAGTAGCCAATCAGAAGGCTTGACACAAACTCATTCAACAAGTCATTCTGAAAGTGTTCCTTCACACATAGTTAGGGAATATGGATTACATTCAACATTCCAATCAGAAATTCCAGGACATAGGCTTGTAACAAGACCAGGGCGTCAACTAAAAGCGTGTGTGTACTGTCAGTTGAAGAAGGTCAAAACACGGTCAGGATGGGTGGTCAAGTCCTATTACATGTGTGAGGCGTGTGGTGTTCCCTTGTGTCGTGGTCAGCGCGAGTGTTACCACCACTATCACCAGCTCATCTCGGGACAGGGTCAAATGTAGTGGTCAGTGATGCAGAAAGCACCAGCAATCGCATGTTGGCCAAATTCGTGGCACTGCCTGAACTTATATCAATATACCGATTGTCTCCCCCATGTGATCCATGTATTTGTATTGATCTGTGCGTCGTGTAGTTTTACCCATGTGATTTAGTCATTTGATAGGATTGCTGGGTATAAGTATTGAATGTGCCAGGTACTCTTGGTCTCTGTCCTAACTCTTTTCTTTCTCCCTTTCAGTGCCTCGTGGTGTTCAGAGTCCAAAACGCTCCCTTGACTCATTTTTAGGGCCATTTGATGTTCATGGGTCCCTTGGGTCAAATGAGCACCTGGGCCTGCTCAAGACTGGGGAGAATGCAACCATATTAGATCCTAAAGGTGTCATTCACACACAGATAACCTCACAAGGATACAAACTGAAAAAATGTGTGTACTGTGCGTCACATCGTGTGCGGTCCAAGTCTGGCTACATAGTGTATTGCCGATTCATGTGCCAGACGTGTGATGTAGCTCTATGTAAAGGGTCGAGGTCATGCTTTCAAATGTACCACAAAGAGCTATTTGATGAACAAAATCACAGTGGTGCCTCAGACACTGACTCGTCACAGTACATACTCTGATCAACTGGGTGCATGTGGGTGTTGGTCTAGGTAAAAGGATAGTGTGTCTCTTGTTTACCCTCTGGATAATGCCAAATATACTTTTGTCCTTTCAGGGTCAGCATCAGTACCCCACAGGCAATTGCAAAGCTTTCAGAGCATTGCACCATATCCTCCAAGACAATCGCAAAACCTTTCCCAAGGGGACTTGTCGGGTCACCTGTCAATGCTGGCTCGCATGTCAGCACCAGGGTTCTCGGCCCAAGGTCAAGAGTTCAGTAGTAAAGGCGTAGAAAGCCCAAACTATGGTGCTAATCTGCAAAAGGCAAGGTCCCTGAATCTGGGTGGACACCACCACAGACTTGTCCATCTGCAGGGTCTCCGGAAGTTGTGCGTTTACTGTCAGTTTAACAAAATCAAGACCAAGTCTGGGTGGTGGATCTACACTCGGTATAAATGTGAAGGCTGCGAGGTCCCCTTGTGTAACACCACCTCGGAGCGGGACTGCTTCATGCTGTACCACAACTTGATGTACGGTGGCTCCACTGGTGGTGAGGGTCCAGTCACGGCCCCTGCTCCTCGGCCTGCCCAAGGAACTGGAAATGATGACGTCAAGGTGGACTTGGCACAAAATGCTGTGAATCCGAACAATTCCAGTCAACAGTTTTACAATAGCGACAAAACCATTTAGTAGATGTAAGGTTTGCACATAAATACATTAATATGACGCCTCTAGGTCACTCACAATATTGTGTTTAGTATAGACATTTTAAGTTTGACTGTTCATGGTGATATGAGGGTAATCTCATGTCCTTTTTGTCCTTTTCAGAACCTGCCTCAAACCCTCACAGCCAATCAAAAACCTTATTACATTTATCAGGTCACTTAGCAACGATGGCTCGAATGTCGGTACCAAGTGTGCCAGTGGCACCGCAAAGACATCTGGTGATTTCCACAGGTCACCATCCTCAAAAACAGCTTTTAGAGGTCCGGAGCAATAACAAGAATACACTGATGTCACCCCATCAGCATGGGGAGAAACACCACCGTCTGGTGCATTTGGAGGGTCAGAAGAAGCTGTGTGTGTATTGCCAGTTACACAACATCAAAACTAAATCAGGATGGTGGGTGTATACCTGGTACAAGTGTGAGGGGTGCGAGGTACCTCTGTGTAATACTACATCAGAGCGGGACTGTTTCCTCCTGTACCATCGTCAGATACATTAGTACATACTTAGTAGTGTGTCCGTTAACCTGACGTCTAAAAGGGACTGTTTCCTCCTGTACCATCGTCAGATACATTAGTACATACTTAGTAGTGTGTCCGTTAACCTGAGGTCTAAAAGGGACTCGTTTCCTCCTGTATCATCGTCAGATACAGTGTATATGTACAGTGGTATTGTATGAGAACGGTAAAACAAGTTTGAGGGCTGATGTGTTGATCCCAACGGTGCCACCACACTGGTGTGAGTTCGAACACCAAACCTAAAAGATATACCATCACTGCACAACCTTTAGTGTGAGTTTCAACACTAAGTACTGGACCACAAGATCCTAGCGCCTAGGTGGTTGGTCAAGTGGGCAAGTGGATAGCACATTTGCCATTCACCAAGATGGTCTCGGATTTGATTCCCCATCATACATGAAAAGTTATTGAGAGGGACTAAGAATTTTTGAGTAATTTGCTCTCCTGTAAAACAAATGTACCTTTGGCTGTTCATTTGTAATTGTGAAACTATGCCCCAAAGCCAACAAGTTTAATCAACAAACTTTGTCTTAGAAACATGCATTGTGTTCCCATATGTTGTTTTTCTGTGATTTATTTTGCCAAATAAAATGGTTCTTATTGTTAAACAACTACCGTTTGTGTTGAGTGGTCTCTGCATAGTAAAATGTTTTTAGAGCAAAAGGCATCTCAAATAATAAGGTTTTGATCGACATAGTCGGATTTTCAATAAATCATTCCTAGTCGGGGCACAAAATTAAAACTCAATTCAAACTGAATAAGGAGGTTGTCACAGCCAAATTTCCCGGAGATATGTTCGTGCTAGGCATGTTATATGAACCAAGATCACATCTCGAGCTCTTGGACATTGAGATATCACTGCAATTAACCTTGGATAGTCCTACAGGGAGTTGTAATAAGAATACCCTCATATAATCCAGTGGGGCCTGATCATAAATAAGGTGACCTCCGACAATCCTAGATTACCTCAGATAATCTAATGGGGTCTAGACATAAGATTACCTCTGATATTCCTTCAAAGTCTGGTCTTAAATCTACCTTACCTAGTTATACAGCCTCAAATTCCTATTGGGCCTAGTACAAAAGATTACCTCAAAACATCCTCATTTAATCTTGTCCTATGATTACCACAGATAATCCTCATTTAATCTTGCCACAAGATAACCTCAGATATTCCACCTTGGAAATAGTTCTCAGTTTACCTTTGATGATCCGACAGAACCTAGTCTTAAGATTGCATAGAGTAATCCTCCTAGGCCTTGGCCTGAAAGAGATCATCTACGCATGTGTCTTATTCTGGAGCCTGACCATATATATATATGGAAATGGTTTATTTCAAGATGAGCATGTTTCACACCTAATTAAGAAGATGAGTGCTAATACTGGTATTTAGATTGAAATATGTGTACTTAAAAAGTTTGTAAGAAAAAGTTGTCGGGTGTAAATCTGTAGTTGATAATTGGTTTAAACTTGCAAAACAGGAATATGTGTATGAACTACATACAGTTCAACATGGTTCAGGTTGACTTTGCAGGCAACAATATCTCCTTATTACTTTAACGTAAGCATTGAAAGGATCAGTGTAACATGATGAGTGTGGTTTTCGTATAAGAATTGAGGGTTTGGTGTGTGTATTGAAGGTTTGGTTTAGTGTAATCGTAGTCACTTTAAGCATTGAAGGTTTCTGGTTTGAGCTTGAGAGATGATGTTGGCCATTCTGTTTTATCTTTCAGACCCTGGCCCCCTTAGATCTGTCTGTGGACCCTCAGCAACCTATGGCAGCTTAAGTCCTTATAAGTCCAATGTTGTCAAGCATCTGGAGGGTCTGGGGCATAGAATAGATAGAAATGTAGAGAATAAGCCGCGGCTGTGTGTGATGTGTCAGGCGGGCAAGGTGAAGACCAGGAAGGGATGGAAGGTGTACTCTCGCTTCCACTGTTCTGCCTGTGTTGTCCCTCTGTGTATCCGGGAAAGGGACTGTTTCGGTACCTTCCACAAGTCGCTCTGTTACCCCTACATCAATCAGGAGAATGATTCTGTTCCCTATATAGGGCCACCTAGTGAAAACATAAAGGTCAATCTCTCCTCCCAAGGCCATATGTATTCCTCCTCCATTGAGGATGACAAACACAAATTTTAATCACTTCAGTTTGACTTCCATGATTCTGTGTGGAGCAATTCAAATAAAATGTTATTAATATATTTTATGTTACCTTTAACCCTTTCACCCCTATGTAACTGCATTCAGTAAACTCTGCCATGCATTGATCTGGATGAGTCCATTATGGTCTACAGTGGTGAAAGCCTGCTGATTATCCATGTACTCGTTATGGGCTAGGTTTGGCTGTGTGTCATTTTACTTGTTGCCTGTTGCTGTGTAGGAATACCAAATGTCTGCTGAATCCCACGATAACATGGAATTTATACAAAACAAATTACGAGGTGAATGACTTAGTAATTTAATCGTGGAGTAATTGCATATTTTTTGTCAGTGCAAATATATCAACATATAAAGGATTTGTTGGGATGGGATGTTGTAGACGGCCGAACCAAGAACTACTTGTCAGTAACTGTTGCCAAATTTGAGTATTTAAGTTGTTTAATGTGGGAAATGATCCCGTGTCAGTTTGGATCAATAACAGAAGTTGTGGATCTAATTCATCCACTTTTATCATTAAAGACATAAAAAAGTAACAATTACACAACCAATATCTGAAACTGTTATCAACAAAAGATTCTCAAACCATTATCACCAGCCAAGTGTGTGCCATCAAGCCCCCGAGTAGCTGACTTTGTATTGCATGCATGGCCTTGTACATATTGTACAGAAAGTTTGTAATAAAGATCGGAATAAAAACAGAAACTGAGTGGTTTGTTTTGTGTTTTTTCAGGACCGATGGATGCCCTGACAATGCGTGCTAACCAAACACTGGACATGACAGTCATGTCTCCCCTTTCTGTAAATTTGGACCGTTTAGTTGACCACCATGGTAACAGGCATGTCCCCATTAAGACCAGGCCCTCCAAAGTGTGTGCGGTGTGTCGCTTCAATAACGTAAAAACTAGGAGAGGGTGGCGTGTGTATACCTCGGACAAATGTGCTATGTGTGATGTGGCCCTTTGTACGGGCCCTCGTGCCTGTTTCGTCAAGTTCCATAATCTCTCCGAAGAAGACCAATCACAAGTTCTGACAAATCCTCCGTTTCCTTATTTGTGATTCTTTATGAGCATTTCCTGTCCATGACAAAACATATTTTTGAGTTGTATTAAATTCCATCGCAGATAAACACCTTGTTGTTCAAATACAGATCAAGTGTTTATGCTTTTTCGGATGCAGGCCAGTCGGTAGATGTACATATAAATATAAAGTGGTTCATATATGTCAAGTA